CTGCTTCTTCGTCTTCTTCATCTTCGGCATCGTGGGCGTCCAGCTGTGGGCCGGCCTGCTGCGCAACCGCTGCTTCCTGGACAGCGCCTTCGTCAGGTGCGAGCCCCCTCCACCCCCCAGTACGTCGGGCCCCCGCAGGCTCTTCGGAGCCACCTGCCCACGGAGGCGCCTCCCCAGCCCTGCCCCCAGCAGGTGCCTTGGCACCGGCCCCAGGGGCACACCCTTCCTGGAGGACCTCCGGCTGGGACCTGGGTTCTGGATCTCTAATCTTTGTTTTTACGTCTGTTACTGTCTCTCATTGTCTGTCTGTCTTTCTCTATCTGTTTGCTCGCCCCCTTTCTCTCATTGTTTCTTTGTTTTTCCCACTGTCTACCCCTCCCCCTCCCCCTCCATTTCCCTCTCTCCCTCCCCGTGCCCCTCACCGGGCCGCCTGCCCCCAGGAACAACAACCTCACCTTCCTGCGGCCGTACTACCAGACAGAGGAGGGCGACGAGAACCCCTTCATCTGCTCCTCGCGCCGAGACAACGGCATGCAGAAGTGCTCGCACATCCCCAGCCGCCGTGAGCTGCGCGTGGAGTGCACGCTGGGCTGGGAGGCCTACGGGCAGCTGCAGGCCGAGGGCATGGGCAGCACCAGCCACAACGCCTGCATCAACTGGAACCAGTACTACAACGTCTGCCGCTCCGGCGACTCCAACCCCCACAACGGCGCCATCAACTTCGACAACATCGGCTACGCCTGGATCGCCATCTTCCAGGTGGGCACGGGCTCTTGACTGTGTGGCCTGTGGCCTTTGTTTGCCCACCATGTTGGGTGCTGAGCATGCCCTGGGGAGGGGGTGCCCAGGCAGGGCTTGCTTGCCCTACCAGCCCCTCAGCCAGACCCTAAGGGAACACAGGCCTGCCGCCCTCCCAGTGCCACCCTCCCGGGGCCATCTGTGTGTCCAGCCAGCTGCCCCCCTCAACAGGTGATCACGCTGGAGGGCTGGGTGGACATCATGTACTACGTCATGGACGCCCACTCCTTCTACAACTTTATCTACTTCATTCTGCTCATCATCGTGAGTACAGGGCGCGGGACGTGTCCCGGTTGGCTGGGCAGGACTTTCACAGCCGTGGGTGTTGGAGGGTGGAGGTGCCTCTGAGTCATGACAACTAATCTCAGACCCTTAGCTCCTTAGGGATGTCGTTCTGGCCCCAGGGTCCATTTATGCCGCCAACATGCACCCTCCCAGCCTTTGCTGTCCCTCGTGGCTCCCAGCATTGGCGGAGCTATGAGGTGGAGCAGCAGAGACCCAGGGCTCTGTGCAGCCCCCAGTGGGAGGAAGTGGAGGTGCGGAAGGACAGAAGCCAGTGTGGGCGGGAGAGAGAGCCCCCCTCCAGGAGTCCTCAGGCAGCGCCCCCGGCTCTCCACAGCCAGGTTCTGTCTGAAGGTTGCAGAAGCATCAGGACTCCGCACGTGTACACGAGCTCCCAGGCAGGGCCTTCCACAGTGCGCGTGGCCCCGCGTGTGGCCCTCGCTTGATCCGGGCAGGTCTGCGAGGACCCAGGAGTGAACACAATAGGCAGATGTCTCAGATAATTGCCATGAGCAGGAGAGAGTGTCACACGGTGACCATGTCACAGAGGAAGGCCGGGAGGAAAGGGCAGGGTGGCCATAGTCTAGAGCAGCGGTTCTCAAGCTGTGGGTCACGACCCCTTTGGCGGTCGAACGACCCTTTCACAGGGGTCGCCTGAGACCATCCTGCATATCAGATATTTACATGACGATTCATAACAGTAGCAACATTACAGTTATGAAGTAGCAACGAAAATAATTTTATGGTTGGGTCACAACGTGAGGAACTGTATTTAAAGGGCCAGAAGGTTGAGAACCGCTGGTCTAGAGGGTCTCGTCAGGGACAGACCTGAGGAGGAGGGTCCCCCGTGGCCTCCCTCTGTCCACAAGTAGATGAGAAGCACCTACTGTGAACCGCCTGTCCCAGGTGCTGGCGCAGCATCAAGTCAGAAGGGACCCCACCCATCATGGGGCGCCCGCTGGCCACACTCAAGGCCACACTCCCGGCCCCGGGAATGGGCGGCACACAGTAGGCCTCAGTATTTCTCTCATCAGGGACTCACTGTTGAATAGAAACCACAGCCACTGCCTGGCCTCCGGGGCAGATGGGTCTCCGTGTCCCCTCTTCCCCAGTTCCCTGGGGCACACAGCCTGGTGAGCGAGGCTCTGGATGGGCTGCCGGAAGGCTCAACACCGCCCGCCCGCCACAGGTGGGCTCCTTCTTCATGATCAACCTGTGCCTGGTGGTGATCGCTACGCAGTTCTCAGAGACGAAGCAGCGGGAGAACCAGCTGATGCGGGAGCAGCGCGCCCGCTACCTGTCCGACGACAGCACGCTGGCCAGCTTCTCAGAGCCAGGCAGCTGCTATGAGGAGCTGCTCAAGTACGTGGGCCACATCTGCCGCAAGGTCAAGCGGCGCAGCCTGCGCCTCTATGCGCGCTGGCAGAGCCGCTGGTGCCAGAAGGTGGAGCCCAGCAGCCC